TTCTGACAGCTCTTCCCAGTTACAGCTATCTGCCTGATTTCTCCATGCTACCTAGTCTACTGGTAACTTCAAAAAAGTTTAAATTAAATTACACCTACTCCTCACTTATCAACTATCTTGTTATCCAATATTTCACATTTATGACAATAGTAAAAAATCTGCTATCTGACTATGTTACACATTAATGATATATGTCTGACAGTAATGGATGCCAAGGTTCTAGCTAAGAGTAATGTTGGCTGTGATGCCTAAGGTTATTTGTCAACATGGCTGGGCCATGAGTCTCAGTGGTTTGAAAGTTATGTAATGATATAATTTGGCATATGCAGTGATGTAATTTGGCAATCATGTAATGATGTAGTCATCCTCCATTTTGTGATCTGATGTGGTCACCTTCCATTTTCACATAAAGCTGATTTTTTCATAACAATCTGGTCTTTAGAATCTAACCATGTCGATAAGTGAGAATGAGTATGTTTAAATTCATAACTTAAAATAAAGCTTGTCCCCATAGGCTTTTCTTTATTTTGTTACAACTCAACTTACTGCCATTGAGTTGGTTTTGACTCATAGTGACTCCTCTTTGGGTTTCCGAGGTGGTATCTCGATGGAAGTAGATCAGTCTCTAAAATTTATATGGAAATACAAAGGATCTTGATTACACAAAGCAATCTTGAAAAAGAAAAATAAAGTTGATGGATTTATATTACCTAATTTCATGTTTGTTGTTGTTGTTGTTGTTGTTGTTATGTGCCATCGAGTCAACCCGACTCATAGCGACCCCTCCTTGGGTTTCCGAGGCAGTATCACTACCGAAGTAGATTGCTCAACCTTCCTTCCAAGGAGTGGCTGGTGGGTTTGAACCACCAGCCTTCTGGTTAGCAGTCAAGTGCCTTAATTTCATGATTTACTATAAAGGTAGAATAAGATAGTGTAGTTCTAGCATTGTTGTTACTGTTGTTGTGTGCCATCGATTTGATTCTAACTGATAACCACATCTATATGATAGGGTAGAAGTGCACCATGGGATTTCCTAGGCTGTTGTCTGTATGGGAGCAGATTGCCAATTCTTTTCTCCCATAGAGCTGCTGGTGGGTTGAAACGCTGACCTTTTGGTTAGCAGACAAGCCCTTAACCATTGTGCCACCAATGCATAATATTCAAAAACTAGATCAGAGGAACTGAGTAGAAAGCCCAGAAATAGACCATGCTTTAAAGGCATGTGATTTTCAATACAGGTGCCAAATCAGTCAATTGAGAAACAGAAAGTTTTTTGTGCAAATGGAGCTGAAGTAAGTTCTATTGTGCATAGGGTTGCTATGAGTTGGAGCCAACTTGACAGCACCTACCAACAATATAGGAAAAAGAAAAACGAACACCAGCCTCAGCCCCTACTTTATACCATAATTCAAAATTAATTTAAGATGTATCATAAGTTTAAATATAAAAAACTAAAACCATAAAGATTTTACTGGAAAATGTAGAAGAATATCTTCATCACTTGAGAGGAGGCAAAGATTTAAGACAGGTGACAGCAAATAAACACCATATAAGAAAAAAAAAGATAAACTTCATCAAAATTTAAAACTTGTCATCAGAAAACATAGTTAAGAAAGTGTACAGGCAAGCAACAGACTGGGAGAAAATACTTGCAAAACACATACCTTACAAAAGTCTGATACCAAGATATAGATGTAAATTCCTGCAACTAAATAATAAAAGGACAACATATTTTTTTTTTTCCAGTGGGCAAAAGATTTCAATAGCAGGATCACAAATAAAGATACACAAATGGCCAAATAGCACAATTTAAAAAAGTGTTCGGCATCATTAGTCTTCAAACCAAAAAAACCAACTCACTGCCATTAACTCAGATTCGACTCATAGCGACCCCTCCTTGGGTATCTAAGGTGGTATCACTATGGAAGTAGATGCCCAACCCTCCTTCTGAGGAAATGCAAATTCAAATCTTAATGAGATGCTACTATATATCCACTGTTGTTATGTTGTTATGTGCTGTCGAGTCAGACCCGACTCATAGCAACCCCTCCTTGGGTTTCCAAGGCAGTATCACTATGGAAGTAGATTGCCCATCTTCCTTCCGAGGAGTGGCTGGTGGGTTTGAA